GTTTTTTTATATCGCTCCCGCCTCGACCTGCGACCACTCGTGCGTGTGTCCACTATGTCACAAGTGCTTCGCCTCCGCCTCCGTTCTCCGTAATGGTGCCCTACAAAACACACAAACATTCAGCTACCGACACACATTACGCACACACCTTGTCTTGTGGTGTGAACGCCACACCATTTTCAGGCAGATAGACGAACAACAGAGACTTATCCAAACCGCAAAGTAAGCGAATTACAGATAGAAAGGCACTTCCATTGAGACCACCGAATGCGTTGCAGCCACAAACTGTCACGTCTCCTCCGATGTGGGGAAATGATCCAAGTAACTGACTCTACATGTCCGCGTCACAGATGAAACCGGAACTATGGCAGTGTGTGTTCCTTTGTTGTGACAGGCAAGCCATATCGACGAGGAAGCTTTGCGACCTCTGCCAGACGAAATTCGTTTAACATAATTTGCCTGCAAAGGTTCGTGATTTACTTGCCTCCAAGAGTCATGAATTCGCAATTGATTTGGATTCAACGCAAGACCAACGGCAAGAGAAAGTGTCGTCTGCCCCATGACGAATGCCCCTTTGAAGGAAGCGAATTGTGGTTATAATCAGTCTCTAAAAGATTTTGTGCAAACAATTGTATTTTCCTAGTAGCCAGTGGCCTTTGTCAAAAGCCGTGCATTTAGACGGGGGTGAGGAGCATCACTTCATACCACACATCATGTACTTGCTACATGCCAGGCACTTGGTATTATATAAGATACTTCGATTCTTTCTTGGTCGATCCGAGCAATTTTAAACCCAACTGTTTTCTATTCCACGCATCTACCACAGTCTTGGGAACTAATTACATCCTTTTCATAATCACGCAAAAAAAAAAACGAACACATAGGCAAAACGTTGAAAGACAAATTATAAGGAAATCCACCCGGATGACACAGTTAGTTATTCGGAGAAACAAAGGCGGTTAGTCAATGAAGCAGACTTTTTAGGTGGTACCATAGCAAACATCAACCCAAGCCAACGACTAGAAAGAAAACTTTTCATCGACTTGCAGCTGCCCGCTCCAGAGCAGCTACTGACTCAGTGCCGGGGCGCCACTGACATGACTTTGGTTGGGGAGAGGAGAAACTTTTAATCGATTTCCTTGTAACTCGACGAGATGCACCCTGTACTCGACATAGACAAATGCAAATGTGTGTCGATTGGTGAGACTGTCAACAAAGAAAACCACATTTACCGATGCAAATTAAGTCAATTGGCAACGCACACAGAAAGAAGTCAGTATCAAATAAATTAATTAAAGACACTCAGTGGGGACTGACGGAAACGGTGTCGAATGCCATGCTCAGGTGCAAATACGTACGTTTGCATCTGTGGAACGTTGGCATATACATGCCGGCGATTGGAACTGTCGCCTAGTGGGTGGATCCTGTCCTGTAAATCCAATCATTCGCATTCATTGTTTTATTTATGATCGTCGTAGTGCCAGATCTCAGATTATAGGCATAATTATTCACAAGCCTTAGTAGGCCGAAAATTATTTACATAATTATGTGAGGCCGTTCCCAGAGAAAAGTTTGAATCCAATTCATCTCTCGAGAGTGTGAGTCGGTTTGGATGCAGTCCACTTGCTTTCTGGACATATAAATTACCTGCATTCACTGAAATGGAACAGGGTCGTTGAGAAATACAGTGATATCCCTAGTAAAAATTATACGACATCCACCTTTCCTCTGGACAAAAATGGAATCATTTTCGGTTGCTTCACGTACGCAATTACGCTGCTAACTCGCGTCGTCATCTTCATTAAGTAATCGCAGCAGTAAAGGCATAAATTATGAGACTTAAAGCACCGTACATTGATTACTTGTGGTAATGGGTCTGTGCGTGTGTGTCTCTGTGTGTGTGTGTGTAGCACACACAAGAAACACAAACATCTCTGCCATTGCCAAGAAGCCAACCAGTCCAATGACTAGCCGTCGTAGCATTATTTTACCACTCACCTTTTAGCATTAAATTCAAATTTTGTACTTATCGACCGACTGGCAATGGATCATCATAAGGAACGCCAGCGTAAGCGAATGGGCAGCTATCTGAAGTCCAAGTATTTGAGCAGACACATCATTTTCAATGTGAATGTCAAGTGCATGGCTGAAATGAATGGCCGGCCACACTAGCAATGTTGCCACGGTTAGCTCGACTTTGATGGGTGGTTGGAATTTCAATCAGAAGTAAACAGGAAATGTACAACACAATTGAAGTCGCTATCCTTGAGAAATACGCACACAAATACATGCGCGTGGGTTCGCGAACCAAGTGTCAATGCGTGTGAAAATATCAAAAAAATCCAAAATGCCTATGGGTCAACCATGTTCCTCTTCGAATGTTACAAACATACATATGTTGCAAACTACATAAAAGTGTAACGACTGGCACTATGTGGATCAAAAAAATTATAAAAATTTACCAGGGTAGAAGTTTTATATGACAACCTTCCGCCCCGTAGTATATAAAGTTATGTACATAGGTATATGCATGCATATGTACATAAAGTGTATGTGTAGAAAGAAAATTAAACTCCTCTAAGTCGCTCCAAAAATGCTTTAGAAAATTGCTTCTGTTGCCTACGAGACCAGAAAACGAACAATTAAATAATTTGAACTGTTTCTTTTGTCTCCTATCAAAATTGTGGCTGCTGCCCCTACTCTTCTTCTCCACGCCTAATGAAGTTCTGCTCCCTTCCCTTCACATCGCATGGCATTCAACCGTTCAGCAACAGCCACAACCAAAACACTAATAAAAATAGGAAAAGAATTGAGTGAATTTTTAATTAAACTCCGGTTAATTTGAGGCTTGAAACGCCCGTTTTCAATGTTGATTTCAGTGGTGTCTTGGCCTGTCTCAGCGAAATTCTTCTGCTCCACTTCGGTTCCATTTCAAGTTTCAGGGAACTGCACTTTTAATGAGTTTCAAACATGAACTGAAGAACTTAAAATGCACAGGCTGTGTATTGGCCCCATCCATTTGAACAGCGGATCAACCAGACAGCCATCCATTTTCCCAATGGTTACGAACTCATTCACAATAGTCGAGAGATTGTTATCAAACTCTAAGGCAATAGGGTTCAGCGGGTCGGTTAGGTTTCCCCTCTGGAGTCTATGGCTGTTTGCGCGTGTTAATGTGTGTGTGTGTGTGCGTCTTTGTTGTTGGTAGCAGTGAAGAGTTATTGTAATTTATGAGTTTCAATCAAAAAGTTGAGCAATGGCATCATCGTTGATTTAAGACAATTCAAGTCAATGGCCCCATAACGGAGGGAAACGAGCGAAGCAAACGAATACCACCAAACCGACACTTTACGCTCCTCCTCTACCAGTTCTAGGAAAAACAGTAATGGGAGAAACCTGAACAATCGTCCGAGGCGCATGAAATGTAATATTTGGCGCAAAGGAAGAACCAATACGAAACAGTGATCATAACTTGGCGAAAACTAGTGGCAAAGCAAACCGTATAATGAAAGGTGAAACTTGGCTGTTTGTCTGTCATGACACGGTGCTTCTCTATCGGTGAGGAACAAACTTAAACACACACACACACACGAATTTCAACAAATTTTCACAAATCCCGTTTTCTCTCAAGCGCACCAAAGGAAACTGAAAACGATTTTTCAAATAGAACACACTGCCTCCATCGCAATGGAGAGGTAAGCTTCGAAGAGAAGAGCTGAATACGCTAAAATGCACTCCGGCTGGAGCTGGTTGTTAACATGCAGAGAGATGGCAATGTTAAATCGATATGGTCAATGAACGAGTGTGGCCATTTGTAGCAAACCCGTTAGCAATATATATTCCTGAGTATCTAAAATCACACAGTGACTCTGCAATTGATCGAAGTTAATGTTCTTTTGCTAGAGGCAAGTGTCCTACACACATCACACACACGTCACTAAATATCGTTTCCAGTGTGAGAAACAATTTCAATAGCCAGTAGCAACCTATCTGGACCAAGAATTGGATTTGGTGGTTCGGAAGCAATTATATGTCGCTAAGCTGCCAAAGCTGTTTATGAATATGTAGTTTATAATTTTTGAAGATTTTGACCATCAGATACTTACTTCGATTGGTATAAGACATAGGATTTTGTTCTCTGTGACGCTCTGTATATCACATTTTCACAGAGTAATATATAGATACAGCAATATACACTCTAACTTTGTCATTCCGTTTGTAACTCCTCGAAGTACTCATGTCTGACTCAACAAAGTATATATTCTTGATCAGCGCTAAATTCTAAGTCGAATTAGCGATGTTGTAATCACGCTATTTTTGGAACGAATTGAGATAGAAGGTTAAAGTTTTGCACACATGTGTAGTTTGTCAGTAGGCAGGTTGAATTTGTGCAAGGGCTATGTCGGCCATTTCATATAGCCCCCATATAACAGTACCTCCCAATATTCGGTATTTTTATGATTTTACGTATATTTTTTACCTAGGTACTACAGCCCATGGCAAAAAAGCACATAATGATGCCCCCAATTTCGATACTTGATGATTTTAGCGCCATTACTCACCGGAATTGTTTCAAATTTCGTATTTGAAGTTCGGAATCGGTACTACAGCCTATGACAAGTGTTTCATTTAATTGTTTCGGGTATTAAAAGTTCGGCCAGGCCAGGAACTTAGCTACTGTTTTACTTGTTTTTCGCTAATAAACGAATTAACAAATACCTATACGGCACACGCGAACGGCGCACCCTAATAAAACCATTTCAAATGCTCGGAATTCTCCGTCAATTGTCGTTAACATCGTGGATGGCATGTTATAGCAGTGCTACTCATTTCGCCGAACAGACAGTGATTCTCTTTGCTACCACTTCTCTCTCTCTCTCCAATGCTGTTAACGAACAATGTTGTGCACTGTTCAGCTGTTAACAGCTTGGTTCGTCACACACTTCGTCTGTGTGGTGATGTTAAGCCATCGACTCCGTGATGTAAAAAGAGCTAATGAGATGTTAAACGAGCGTTAGTAGTTTATACGCCGGCATTTGTGACTGTTGACTGTGGCCTCGCGGAAGAACGAACGAATGGCGCGTCAAAGTGATTTCGTGAACACAATTTGAAAATACTTATTGCGAATAGTTGAACAAAAGGAATGTAGAAATGCATGCAAGGGACTACAGCACCTAAAAATACATTTCTAATTATAAATGCCTAGTACAGTAGTGTGTCGTTTGTGTCTGATGGTATTCGGCAATGATGTGAAAAGCGCAGCCATGCGACCTACGGATATTTGAAAAGTAAACGAGTTCCCCTCCTAAATTGAATAATTTGCCCAAGACAACTTTTCAAAACCGAATAAAAAATTAAAATTAAAATTGATAAAAGCCAAAGCAAAACGCCTATGCAAAATAACAAACAAAAAGAGAAAGAAAAAAGAAACAAACTAATAGTAAATCAAGCCAGTGTCAAGTTGTAGAATAACGGTTAGCATATCCACCACGTCTGAATTCAATCAATTTCCCGTTTGGTACTATCGTCGGGGATAATATTCGATTTTGAAGTGAAGCCGTGGCATTCCATGGGGATGTCCGCAGAACAGTGCCGAGCTGTCACTAGATACCTGGCAATATTTTGGAAGAATTTGGATTAACATTTAAACAGAAATTTACTTCAATTATTTTTGTGATACATCCATCATTTCCACTGACTTTGGAACTCATACAGACGCACACCTTGTCGATTGATACGCGCTGCTGCTGTTGTTGTTGGCTGGCTGTTGATTGCTCTTGGCTGCTGTTTATTCATTTTTTACATGCATGTGTGTTGTTGGTGTTTTTTGTGTTGGAGAGTGGCTTTGTTTTTGGCTCATAAACCGGATTTGTATGAAAGGAATTATTCAACAGCTTAAATATCGAAGGGAATGACGACGACGACGGCGGCGGCGAGCCAACACAGCCACCACGCCACCATAGTAACATTCAAAACACAACGACAGCACGAAAAGAAAAAAAACATAACTCTGCCGCCACAACGTGCAATGAACAACAGAGACAACAACAACAAGTTCTTTTCTCATAGCTTTGTGAAGAGTGTAGGCAACGAAGAGAACACCGAGTATCCCAGTGATGTTATTCAGATATTTGGTGAGAGTGTTGAAGGAAGGAAAGCGAACGACAAACGACACCAAGTGCAGAAGGAACAACGAAGACGGAGAGAAGTGACAGTGATAGAGAGTGAGGGAAAGAATTGTTGGGAGACGCAGACGCTTGTAGGATTTATGATGTTGTGTTGATGCTGTTAATAATGTTAAAATGTTATGTTTTGTCTTCTAATTTAGGGTGGGGGTTTGGGGAGCATGTTATGAACTTCAGACAGGGGTGGGTGTGGGCAAGATGCAACGGAACCCCATAAACTGGAATTGGTTAAAGTGTTGGGGGAGAAATACAAATACCAAGTGGAAAAACGAGAAACAACAACATGAAAGCCTACTGCACTCTCAACTCTGGCAAAGAAAAGAATTTAACGAAGCAGAAGAAAGAAAACAAGAAACCATATTTGTGCATAATCGAACATGTATAATTAGTATGTAGGCCCATATGTACATATGTATCTACGCTTTAACGCAAACATGTGCATATGTATGTTTGTTGTCCACATATGAATATTGTGTGTAAGCAATACATCTACGTATTTAGATGTGTTCTCGTTCTGTTCCTTTTTAGAAAGTGGAAATCTCGTATTGAACACCATAAAAACAACAAAGTGCAGATATAAATATCAAAACTACTTGCAACGACTTATTTGAAAATGCCTACCTGTGTGCATCCAATTACCAATCGAATTCACTGTGCAAAAGTCAAATAAAAACAAAGTTACAAATCAACTATCCTCCCTAAAAACAACTGCAACCATACCAACATTTGGCACTAGTTCCTCATCGCCTCTGCACATAAACCTGCAGGTCTAAGTGGATTATTTTTATTGCTGAAATTTGGAAAATATCGTTCATTCGTAAAAAGGATAAATACGAAATTGAATTGAAATCTAGGTAAGTCAGGCCCAGCCGTTTTTCATCTATTCCAGAAATCTTATAAAGCTAATTCACCATCAAAAAAACTGAATCTCAGGCAATTCTTGATGTTAGGTTAAGATGGCTACAGCCATATGCACGTATCTAAGTGTGTGTCGTTGGAAGCCTATCGTAATACCCAATTCCACATTAAATTCCATTCGAACCCAAGAACAAATTATCCATGATTTTGTCACGAACGAACCCCATTGAGAACTCTTATAATTACCCAGAGTCAGCGCATTCTGTTGCAAAAAAAAGATTGCCAAACGCCAGAACGGCACGATCGCTTTCCATTGAATTACCGAATAGCTTAGAACACATTGCTCATATGTAAATCGAACGTGAGCTTAACGAGCAGTGTTTAGTGCTTCCTCATAGCGTGACAATTTTTTAAAAAGCGTTGAGTCGCCATAAACCGCCGAATCATTTCAGTAGCACTTACTGCGTTTCGAGCAATACATCTGCATACCGACAAAATATTTAAGCGCATATGATGGATTGATTGTGAACGATTTTTGGCATTTCCTCGAAATGTTGGGGTGCGCATTGAATAACGGATAAGTAGGTATGCATGCAAACCCCATTTTTTTTATTCAACAGCTTATTCATGTCCACTTGCCTATTCGGACAAGATGTGGTTGTATTTTCCCATCAACCTTATTCTACCGATCCCGCAAGCATTTTTTTAAATCAAATAAGTATTCAAAATGTATATTGAATACGATTGCAGGATGAAAAACAATAGCGCATTTTTATCGGATTAGATAATGCCATCAGGAAGAACTGTTCCATCAACAGGATACTATATTCTATAATGTAATTGCAAAAAATAGACCGACGCATTTTTACACATTGCTGAGAGCCGATAAAACTCACTCAAAAATGCTTGCAGGGGAAGACTAAATACAATTTCTTAGCTAATACAACCTTCTAAAAACTAAAACGTATTAAAACCCCATTGTATGTGTGAGGCATATTCGGGCTGTAGTACTTGCAGTCGCTGCAAGGGTCACTTTAAACTCACCAGCCTATTCAATCTGCAGTCAATCCTCCTCAACAAGTTCTTGGTGTCTGAAAAGCTATGCGATTGACTCCACGACAGAGTATCGACGCATCCAGTAACATAACATAACTGAACTCGCAACACATTTTGAATTGAGTGGATGTATGATGGATCTGTCCATCCACCACTCCAAAACCATCCAACAGCAACAACTTGGTGTGCGTGTGAAGCTGAAAACGAAAGAAAATACAATTTCTTAAAAAGGCTAACAATTTTGTTGTTCGGTTGTGGTTCACTTTTTCTCTGTCGATTTAAAAATACCACATATCTGGCTGGAAGCTGCCCGTCAGTTACTCGTGCTTGGAATATGTGCAACATGTGCTGGATTCAACAGCGTACCCCGAAATGGAATTTAAAACGTTTTGGGAAATTAGCAAAAAATTGAAATTTCGGTGAACAAAAATAAGTACCCATCCGAATTGTTGATATGTTGCACGAATTCCCATTTACTAATCAATAATCTTGAACATCCAAATAGCTTTTCCAATGCACCCAATTATCAGTACAAATAACCAATTCGTACCTAAACAGAATGTGTGCGGCTTCAAAAATACGAAAAAAATGAGCAGCCATTTTGGATCTGAGATACATATTTTTCCTTAACGTTTTTTTGGATCCAATTGACATCTTTGCCTAAATGGCAACTATCCAAAAAGGGTCGCCATTAGTTGTAGGACACATTTCGAGAGTGTAGCTCCATGTCATCCATTTTAATCGGAATTGACCAGAAATTCACAGTACAATACATTTAGCCGATGAAAATCGGAAATTTTTCGTAGACAATGTTTTCTTCGAATCTTATCATAATTGGGTTCCGCAAGCATTGAAAGACTTATCTAATCGTCAGTTGTTTTGTGATATTGGTGGGCTTTATCTGAACAAGTACTAACTAATGTACATACATCCATCAGAACGGCGAACACCGTTTCCATTGGGACAAAACTAAGCCTTTAAGGTGTGTCTATAGCAGTTCGAATTCCAAGTAAAATACTGCGAATTACAAGAGCAGTAGTGGAATTGAGTAGTGAATTTATAATGTTCGCATCACCAATCGAATGTGTCGAATTACATGCCTCAATTTGCCGAATGAAGCAGTGTGCAGTGGGAAACAGTGTGGGATATATTGACGTTAATGCTTCTACAGGGGTGAAATTCGTATAACATTTTATAATGTTTACTCATTTTTAGATAAAACGAATGTGAAGTAAGCGAAGAAACTATTCAAACTAAGAATATGCTGAGGAATCGTTCGTAATTAGTGTTAGCTGCCATCAAATGATATAAAAATCAGACCAATGAATAACATCGCCATAAAATTGGACCGACTGGGGGTGGTTGTAAAGTAAAAATTATATCTGATGAGGCCATAGGAAATTTGTAAAAACAACTGATAACAACTTTACCTTATCTTAACACGAGTCCAGTGCATGGTCTGAAAAAATCTCAAGCTATATCTCATCATTAGGAAAGAAAGAAAAATAAAATTTAACTAAAATCTTCCTCACGAACATTTGTATCCGCCTATTGAATTCCAATGTCAAATCAAATATAAAAACTCGTAAATAAATCGATGCATCCATGCACTTCCTTTCGTGCACATTCGTATGTACATAGCTATGTCGGCCATGAACTATGGAGAATGCGGCGTTACTTTTTCTCTACCACAAAAAAAGTTCACACATCGAACGTATTGGAGTTTTGTTGTACACTTCAAATAATCGTTTATTGCTTATTTGAATCTAATTTGGTATATTCAATGACTAGTCATCCAGAGTACATTTTTTATCTATTGACTTGAGGTGTGTATGATAACCTTTCCAGTAAAAATTCCTCAGTAACTTCTATTGAGAACATTTTCTCACGCGTACCAGTGTTCGCAGCTTTAAAGCGTTACACTTTTAAATGGTTAAAATCTCAAATTGCACTTATTATGGTGACAAAGCTATTATTTGATGGTATAACACAATGTGGAATGGTTTCTATCTAAAAAGGGTAGTTACATTTTTTTAAAAATATTGCCTAAACTTTTAGATTGTTTTCCCATCATCCATAGAACAACAGATTTTTAATCAGCTGTTAATAATTTCTACTGCGTAAATTTTCCCAACACTCTTTACTCGCTCTAATGTACGGGTCTTTTAAGTTATCGAACAACATTTTGTAATAACCTGTACAAATTTTAATAAATGTTTGGTCAATCGTACTCACCACCCAAAAAATGTTATGCAAACATTTATCAAGGTGGTATTGATGACATCGCTCCGGAAATGTTATCACTAAATACTTGAATACCCTCCACGATACTATAGAGGGTATGTTAACTTTGTCATTCTTGATCAAAATAAAATTAAAATTCCTTCTGTCGGTTCTAATCACGCTATCTTTCGAACAGAACTTTAAAATTTCACACACATGTGTATTTTGCCAGTAGGCAGGTTAAGTTGATAAATGTCGGTCCAAGTTTTTGTATAGCCCCCATATACGGGATCTCTCAATATTCGATATTTTGATGACTTTAGCGACATTATGGACCGGAATTGTTTCGTATTGAAAGGTCTTAATGGGTACTACACATTAGACAAAAAATGACTTATGAATGAGATTAGCGACATTATTAACTGAAATATATATAACTGTACCTCCATATATACGGTATTCAGATGATATTAGCGACATTATTCAACGGAATTGTTTTAAATTTCGTATTTGAAGGTCCTAATGGGCACTACAACTTATGGAAAAAATCACTTATGCAGGTCAACGTCTGCGTATACCTCCTATATAACGGTACCTCCCAATATTCGTTATTTTTTTTGGTATTGGAGACGTTATAGGCCTCAATTGTTTCAAATTTCCTATTTAAAATTCGTAACGTTGACTGCAACCTACAACAGAAAATTCTTTATGCCGGTCCTCGTCTTCGTATAGTTGCCATATAACAGTTTTAATTTAAACGGTATTTTAAGACGGAGTTTCTTAAAGATTTTAAGTTATTATAAGGATTGACAGTATTGACTACAAGGTACTGACGTGGTATCTGCCTTATGTACATATGTAAAGTCAACCGAATACCACCAACTATACCGTGACTTGCAAGTACCTTGATTTATCTGCACTGCACATACATTACCATAGACATAATCTGCAGATTTAATTCGATAAATTAAGTTGCGTTTATGACAATTGGTATTACTTTCGGGCGCTTTTCCTTTTTTCGACCTTCCTCTACGAGAAGGAGTATGTACCCATGACTTGCCAACCAAGCTGGTTATTTCCTCTAAATACATTGTGGGCCACATTTCGTCAGATCACTATTGTTTTACACTCAAAATGCAAAAAGCTCACATATGATATCGAAACAAATGCAATTTCGTGTGAACGAAACGCAAAAACTTACATCTGGGCCAGCAAAATAAAAGCCCGGCAACGCCAGCGAATCAAATGAAATGAGTTGTCGAAGAGCACTAATAAAAATAATAAACTAATGAAAATATAGGCAACGGTGACTTGGTCATTTCACTCAACTCTGCATCAATTCAAAGATGAAAAGTATTTTGTATTTTAGTATTTTGATCGAAGAAAGAGGTGCACTCGTGGACAATATATTTCTTCGAAATGCATTAGTGACAACGAAATTTGAAAAAAATGCTACATATTTTGCTAAATATAATTAACTTCTAATACTAAAACACTTGATATTCAAGACAAGATCTAAACAAACAGGTCATTTTGGTAGATATTAATGTATACAGTTGATTGAAAAGGGCCAATAGTCGTAAAGAGCATCGAGGTTGTATGTTATTGGAAACACAGTTTGACTCGAGCATCGTCCATAATCAATTAACGTACCACCTTTCTAAAAACATCCTTGCATTGAGGTCTGCAATTAGCTGTACAATTGGTGGTACATTGT